AATACCAAGTTTGTTAAACTCAAAAATATCTACAATTGTTGTTTTGGTCAACTTTCCATTTGAGAAAGTTTGGATGGTTAAAATTTGTGATTTTTAAATTTCAACGCCTACAAACTAGTTTTCGGAACCCTAGATTGTCTCAAATTGAAAAGTTTTGAATACCAAGTTTGTTCATCTCATCAATATCTACAATCCTTATATAGGCCATTTTTTCATTTGAGAAAGCTTGAACAAAATGTAGTTTAAATTTCACAAGTGTATGACATAGTTTTAGAAAGTCTATATGAGATTCAAGAAGTTGTGACTAGTGTTTGATAAAAATTTCTCAAATGGGAAAATGAGCTATGTAACAATTGTAGATCTTGCTGAGATGATCAAACTTGGTATTCAGAGTTTTTTCATCTGAGATCATTTAGTGTCTCATTTGAGCAAGTTTGACTAAGTCAAATTTGGTCAAATGAAAAAACAACACTTTGACTCTAGTATTATGAACTCTAAATGACTTCAAATTGACATATGCCCTAGATAATCCCGAACACGGTGGTCGAACAAGAGGCTATGGGGCGGTTCCGTGGCTACACGCATTCCCAGCAGACAAGGATACCTACAGAAGCCGCCAGAGAAAGAAGGATGAGGAGGCAGAACGAATCCGTGCATTAGAGCAATTTGTTGATGAGTCACGACAAGCATTGCTTGAATCACGTGAATGAGAAAAATCTCTTGAGGCAAGAATGCAGGAGGAGATCAAGAGGCAAGTGCAGCTAGCAATGAGTCAAATGCAATCGCAATCAACGCCGGGAGTCACCATTAGCCTCGTTGGTCAGATGAAAAGCAATTGTGCTTCTATGGAGCTGCCAGTTATTCAAGACGACGCTGGGTTGCGCTTCCCTGTTGATGACATTACCGAGCCTCTAACAACATGTGAGCTACACATTTCAGATGGTAATAATGCATCAATCATGGTGGCTGTTGGGGTTGTATCTCCAATAGACCGAACGAAGACACCAAGAATCCATGGGTCAGTTATTCAACCTAGATATGCTAGCGTCTCGGTCGATAGAGTGCTCAAAGGTTACAGCAATGTTCCTCTTGACATTGAAGGCGGTGATGGGGAGAAGACACTAGGAGAAGCGGAGAAGACATTTATTCAATGGCGCAAACGCTTCATCATCATTCCTAGGGTGCCACCGCTTCCCCTACCTCACCCTAGGTACGAATGAAAGTGAATGAAATATTATTTTCCATTAATTTTCTATTGTCTTCAAAAATAATTGACACACAACTTGTTTTTGTAGCAGGGTCTCCCCCCAGCCTAGCCTAATCATTCATTCCCCATCTCATCACAGTGTCATGAGGCGAGGCGACTTCATCCCACGGCGATCGCCAACTCCTACACCGCCCCATCGCCTCCACAATGATCTCCAACTCCTACACCGCCCCACCGCCTCCTGGCGATCTCCAACGCCTCCACACCGGTCTCCACCAACACCGGCCTCATCGCCTCCACGCCGGTCTCCAACACCGCCCCACCCCTCCACACGCACGCACTACAAAGACGTCTAAGGTCCCGTGACAAGAAGACCCCGAAAAAGAGTTATTTCTCAAGAAATACTTCTGAAAAGAGGCGATGAGCAAATAGCAAATGAAGAAGACAAAAAAGTGAAAGATTTTTTATAGATATCAAAAACAAGAGTCAAGCGAAGCTTAAGGAGAAGCCGTACTTTTACATACCACGAGATGTGCTTTGAGGCGGGAAGATCGATGCTCACAAGAAAAAGATGATTGAACTTCGTAAGCCTTCGCCACTATCGGACTATGACCGCTCCTCGTGAAGTCACATGATGCGAGATAAGAAAAGGAAAAGAGCATCGGGGAAGGATGTTCCACAGCTCGGACAACGAAGCAACCAATGCAAAATCTTGTTGTTGCTAATGAATATGGTTCCAACATAGAAGTCTATCGACCGCATAACTCGGAGAAGTGTCGGTTCAAGCCCTTAATGCTTTTTTTTTTTTGAAGATACTGGTTTAACCTTGGATCAATTGATGAGCAAAGCTCAATCCGAACACGGAAGTTGATACCGGAAGACTTATAAATATGGCAAAGTCTGCACAACCTCGCTGGCTCTGAATGAATTGGAGTGCGCAAAATGTACTTGCTCAACAAGTGGTACATGCGGGCATGTGGCGAGGGTGAGCAGCAGTGGATCTTTAATCGATTTAGAGACCATCATTACTTCCGTGGTGATGACATCTTACATATTAGTTTCAAAGAATTGCATCAACTATACCACTTGGACGCCTGGACAAATCAATCATTAGCTCCTTTTGTTTGTAAGTGATTCTTACTTTTATTTAATAAACTCACTTCCATGCGTGCGTGTATATAATTATCCTCACATGTAACTTATATTTATATCTGATTCCGGATGTCGAGCTCCAAAGAATATAAGACACGGTGTTGGCTTCATTGATCCTTATATCGTATTCAAAACCGGTATTATTATCAAGGAGCGGTGGGTATCTGAAGCACAGGAGAATATCATGATGTTCTTCGTGAAGCAGCACGACAAGACAACAATACTTTTCCCATACAACTTTGAGTAAGTGTTAATAATAATGTAGTCTACACATTTTATGTAATATCAATACAACTTATATGCATGTACGTGTGTGTATAAACCAATGCAGTTTTCACTGGATACTCATTGTCATTGAGTTAAACTCAAGTCAGTTAGTAATCTTTGACTCGTTGAGAAAAGAGCGGGCACTATACCAAGATATGATAGACATTATCCAGAGGTAATTTCGATCTCTCGCGCACAACTATTATTGAATAGACTTTGCCATAATTTATTAACGATCGTACATTATTGGTCGCACAGGGTTTGGAAAGAGTTTATTCGGCAACATCGCAAGGATTGCAAGGCACCACTTAATGTAGTTGAAATACAAGTAAGTTGTACTATATACACTTTCCCACGTGTTTAATTACTATATCGTACTTCAATTTACGTGTGAGATGATGAGAATAATCTTCTTCTCGTACAGTGGTGTTTGCGGCAGCAACCAGGACTTGTATGGATACTACGTTTGTGAATTTATCACTGCGCACATAAGAAGAACTCCTAAAGATGTCCTCAGAGTATGTATATATCAATTTTTTATTTATTTTTAAATGAATATATATATATATATATGTATTAATACTTTTTCTTTTATTTCAAATGCAAGATTGAATGGTTGAAACGAAGGGTCGTGCAAAAAGACCATCTGAAAGCAGTTCAAGAGTCAATAGCAGGATTTCTTCTAGAAAAAGTGCTAAATCCCAACGGCGAGTTCTACTTTGATCCTAAGGAATAAATGGTGTAAATTAAATGTTTATTGATATCGTTATTTTTGAGAATAAGATTATGAAAGTGTTGTATATATACATATATATATATATATCTATAATATATATAGGTTCATACTTTATTCGAATATAATAATGCTCGATATGAAAATTAGATGTAATTATATGCGTGCGTGTATTTATATTAGCAGCGTAGAATACGTACATAAAAACATATTATATATTAAACAAATATGTGTAACTGAACTGAAAACAAATTAAACAAAAAAAAGAAAAAGAAAATGAACCTTTAGTCCCGGTTGGGGTTACCAACCGGGACTAAAGGGTGCGGCCACGTTTGCTCGGCTGGAGGGCCTTTAGTTCCGGTTGGTAACACCAACCGGGACTAAAGGTCCCTCTTTAGTCCCGGCTCGATGACCCAGGACTAAAGGTGGCACCTTTAGTCCCGGGATCGTTGTCCCGGCGCGGTAACCGGGACTAAAGGCCGTTACCGTCCGGGACAACAAGTCCATTCTGTAGTAGTGCAAATTATAGCATTCATTGCTTCCGATAGGTAAAACATTAGTGACAACTCTCCTAGGGTGCTAAGGATGCAATTTGATGTCGCGCGGAGTGGGCGCGGTTGGAGCAACAGGTTATAAGGGAGCAGCAATAGGCGTGGTTTGTTGAATTGTTGTGTAGAAGGTACGGTGAAAACGGTTTCTCATCCTTATTAATTAGAAACCCTAATCACCCCTTGATCCCATGTTATCCATAGTAGACATGCTCCTCGCAGAAGCTAAATTAACAACCCGAGCCTGGGATCAGAAACCCCTTCAACACGGGTTAAACCGGCCTACGTCGAGGTTTTCTTGGCCTAACATATTTTTAACTATATACTACTCTATCTCAAATTATAAGTCACTCTAACTTTCTTGAGAGTCAAAACATGTCAAGTTTGACCAAATTTATATACTACAATGATAACATTTATGATAATAAATAAGTATGATTAGATTCTTTATTAATTATATTTTCATAATATATCTATTTGATATCATAAATCCTTGTAATTTTCTCTATAATTTTGGTCAAATTTGAGATGCTTTAACTTTTTAAGAAAGTTGGAATGCCTTATAATTTAGAATGGAGGGAGTAACATTTATGTGTAGCATTGTAAGGCGTATTTTCTGGTGGTTATTAACTAGGGATCCAAATTTGTACAACCATAAAAAATGTATGACCAAGGGGAGACGGTCTAGGCCGGTGGCGGTTGAATTAGCAGAGTCCCAAGCATACCAATTGCATCTCCTCTCATCTGCAACACGATGGACGAGACGAAGAACACACGAGAACGCACGGTGTACATGCATATATTGAACACATGACTACATGAGAGTAAACCCATGAAATCAAAATTTTCCCTGGAAAATGTGTTGCGGGGACAGATCGAGTGACACACATCACTACGGGATACTGAAAAAAGTGCGACAGACAAACCTACCGACCCTAGCTGATTAGCAACTTCGCTCAAACATGGAGGGGAACATAACAGATAATGAATTAACGAAACCACCATAGGACGCGCCTCCTTGATTATTCAAAGCCATAGCACGACTCATCGTCGTCCCGATGCAGGGACCAAGGGGGCAGCGCAAATTAGGAACTCAAGCGGATGTGGCTTCAAGGCAGACCCACTGGCCGATGAATATCTTCTCGCAGTTGATGTTGGGGTTGAAGCCGAGGAAGTCGTCCTGGCTTAGCCCCGATCCCTGCGCCATGGAGGAGCACGTCTCGCCCGCCTGCACCCCGTGCACCTTGTTGCAGGTCAGCTCCGGCACCGGCGCAGCCTTCTCCAGCACGTAACCTGCGACATTTCATTTGGCATGCACGCTCAATCATACGGTCAAGACAACGATGACGCACGGGCACAGATGCATTTCATGCCGGATGATTGTTTGGACGAAGGGTCGGAGTATGTAGCTGCATACCTCCATTCACGTCGCGGCGCACGGTGAGCCTCGTGTTGACCTTGGCCCCGCGGAGGGCCGCCGCCGCATTGTGGCGCACAGCGGTGAGCCTCGCGTCGACCCCGGAGAGGGCGACTGCCACGAGGAGAGACGAGATCAGGAAGATGGCGGCAGTGCCGTGGTTCGCCATTGCGAGTGCTGCCGCTTAAACCGTGCAAGCAGATGTATTATGTGTAGAAGAAAAGAGCTCGAGCTATGCTTTGCTGCTTGGATGGCTTGGCGTCGCAAAGAGTATGCTTCGCGCCTTCTTGTAGCTCGGCGAATGCGGTAGCTGATAAGATGTAGTACGTAGTACGTGACAGATCCTCGGAGATGTCGCAAGGACGGCCAACGGACGGGTGAATCGATGACGCTGCTATGGACATGTCGTCGCAGCACATTATTTTAGCCGGCGTCTCTATTGTAATTTGGCCCAGGACCAAGTGAATCCGAAGGGGGGGGTATGATTCCAATGGAGCTCATTTGGAATATTCTCTTATCCATGCAGAATGATTTTGACCGAGCAAGGATCTTAGTTACCTTTGTATTTGCCCTATGTAACTGTCGATGCATTAAGGCCTTGTTTGGATATAGTTGGATTCGCATCAATCCACATGTGTTGGGGTGGCATATATGGATTAATGTGAATCCGACTACGTCCAAATAAGGCCTAAGAGGAGTTAGCATGTTTTGTGAGTGTTACTGATCATGGTGAGAAAAGATGGAGTTTTGTATTTGAACGTGAAAAATCCAAATCTGCAAAAATGTTTAAAAGCTCTGAAAGACTTCTTGCTCTGTTTTATTAAAGCCATGCTTGTTTACCCCTTGATTTATAATACTAGTTCATCAACCCGTGCTCTTGCACGGGTTAGAAGCATATGAGTAAATATTTGTATTAATATTCACTCTTAAGTGTCATAATGACATAAGTAATCATTAATTGTTAAGGCTACACCATGTCACTTAAGATTAGTGATAGAGTTTGATGTGAGATTTACAATGGGGAAGACGTAGGCACCTATGGTATATACTAAGCTCCTCATTTTTCTCAAGATGCTTGATTTTTCTATCAACCAAATATTTATGTAGTAATGGTTATATTATCAATATAGATATTTCAAATATTTTAGTTAAAATATAAAAAATGTATATCTTAAGTATGTGTGCGTGTGTGTGATTTGCATGTTTGCACAATATGTATGTTTACTCAATTTTTATTGTATTGATATTTATAAAATAAGCAATGGAGAATCATATTTGTGCTTTATGGTTATTTAAATCTTTATTGGTAAGCTACTAAAATAACAGTAAGATATAGATAATTTAGACACAAATCTAAATATGTTGCTTTACATTATCTTTTATAATGGCATATTATAGCATCATTTTCTAGAACATAGAGTGTTTATATATTATATAATGTTACAGCACAATGTGTACACTTAGATCAAGGCTACTAATACGGTTGGCTACTGACTATAAGGATCTTTATAACCAATCTCTCAGTCCACTTATATAGTAGTTAGCTCTTAATTATTAATGTCTGACCTACTTGTCTCTCTCACAAAGTTTATTGTTTTTTGTGTTTAAGCCGGCTGTAAGCTTACATGACACTTCTCCTCTCTCTTCTTTCCTCTCTCCTCCACCTCAGCATTCAGCCTGCTTACATCCTGATATGTTGTTAAAATAAATAGTTATTCTAATGTATACTTAGTTGGTCTATATGGTGGAACATGACATTATGCTTATTTTTAACTTAACAGTTATATAAGTATATAATTTAGAAATATATATAGCAACTTTATAGAGATTTTTTGTGATAGCTTATATTATTAGTTATACATTGCATGGGGTCTTTATTTTAGTTTTTTATATGTGTGCATCATTAACTGAGCAATTATTATGTAGGCATAAGAGTAGATTTTATATTTGCACATGAGTTGCTTGTAGAATGGCTCAAACTGACTGAATGGTATATGGTTGTAGATAAATACATGTGACAGATCTTAATGCAAATCAGATCTGAATAATGTATTAAAAAGGTAGTAAAATGGATTCATAATCTGAATGTATTAAAAAGGCAGTGAATTAGATTCATAATTATATTTGCCATGAAACAGAATTGACATTTGGTTATAAATTTATTATTGAGATGAAAGGCTAATATTATTTAATTATTGATATTGAATGAAGACCTACTGCTAAATTTTTTTCATAGTTGTTGATGTTATTGCCATGACATGAGATATTGCCCTCTCATCGGTTTGTTGAATTTTCGTCCCCAAAATTGAACCATAACTTTTTGGCCACTGCAAATCTGGATGTGAAAAATAATGTAATTTAAGATGTGCAGAAACATTAGGAAATATTTTGAGCTCAATAGGGTGCTGCGGTAGTGTGCATGTAAACACTTAAAAGTTTGTTGTGTCTTTTGTGGAGGAAAAAGTAGCTTAATCAGGAGCACAATATCACGGATTTTTGTCATTCTGAAGTTTGTTCTGGTTTCTTCTATTGGTCCAATGTGTGCTGCAACTCCATGATATCTGTAGGGGACCGTGACGTCTAAGAGGGCGGGGGTGAATTAGGCAACTTAAAATTCTAACTCTAAACAATGACCTCTTTTTCTAACCTTAGCAAAACCTATGCAAAAGATAAACTATCTAAATGTGCAACTACGGTTTTGCTAGTGTGTTGCTATCTCTACTGCAAAAGGAGTAATACAATCAATGTAAATGCGGAAGCTAAAGAGCAAGGTAGAGATATTCAAACTCCCGTCGACGACTCTGGTATTTTTTCTGAGGTATCGAGAAGCACACAAGCTTCCCCCTAGTCCTCATTGGAGCCCCTCGTAAGGAATCCCTCGCAAGGACCAAGCTCCCGGTCGGGTAACTCCGTGGATAGCCTCGAGCCTTCCCCACGTGCAAGTGGGCCTCCGACTTGCCTTTCGGCAAGCCTCTCCTGGATGCTCCCCGCCGTCTTCACTATCAAGCTTCCGGCCGACACGGCGCGGGCCTTGTTCCCTCCGGTACACGGTGGCGGCCACACCACAAATACGGTTGGTGTGATCTCGCAAGACTTCAAGACCCTCCGATGTACAACAATGGTGCGCGCAAGCACCGAGTGGTAAGAGGTATGCAAACCTCACTAAACACTAGGCCTAAATCTAGAGCAAGCGCATAAGCGGTGGTCTAATCAACTTAAGCACTTCGCAAAGCACATACGCTAATCACCTAATAAATCACTAAGCACTATGCAAGTGGAGATCACTAAAATGGTGTATCGACACCTTTAATATGATTCCTCAGCTCCACACACTTCAAATGGCCGGTTGGGGGTCTATTTATAAACCCCACTGAGAAAGTAGCCGTTGGGGACGAAATCCCGCTTTCCTGCTACTGACCAAACGCTGATCATGTCCTAACCAGACGCGTCCGATCGTCCCAACCATTAGAGCCGTGATCAACTGATCAGACGCTGTCAGCATCCGGTCACATGCCACCGGACGCATCCGGTCGTAATTTCACGGCTCTGGAACCTTTCTGTACTCGATCAGACGTTGCTGTCCTGCGTTCGGTCGATTTGCCGTTTAGCGTCCGGTCGCTACTGCTGCCGAGCCTCTTGATCGGAGCGTCCGGTCACCTCTATGAGCTCGTTTCTTTGTGATCTTGCGTCCGGCTTGGTTCCTTTCTTCGTGCTTGGACTTTGCTTGATATCTTGTGTCTTCTCTTGTGCTTCCAAGGTCTTGCTTATGGTGTTGATCATCGGATCATCACGTTGCCTTCGTCCAAGTCACGTTTGGTTGTGTTGGTCATCAAACATCAAAATCCAAAGTAAATGGGCCTAGGGTCCATTTTCCTTACAATCTCCCCATTTTTGGTGATTGATGACAACACGACCAAAGCAAGCTGATAATAGAATTTTGAAATTTGAAAACTACCTACTTGCTAGGATGCAATGCATGGGGTAAGGTTATATGATGCTAAAAGATACTACTTGTAAGACTAAAAAATACTACATAAAAACTTAACTTGCCCTTGCAAATGTCCCCATGTAGCATTATGGATTTAAGCCACATAATTCTCTCCATTACATAGGCTAATCCATAATCCACTATCCTCCTTTTCTCGGACCATTACCACTTGTAGACCATTACTACTTGTAAATTATTATGATCTAGCTTTTGGTCCTACAAATTAATTCTTGCTTTTGGTCCTCTAAATTCTCCCCCTTTGGAATTAAACACCGAAAAGGAAGACATTAGTAGCACAAGGGAGGGTCAAACTTTGTAATCCTTTGTGTGTAGAGTGGAATAGGTCACAAAATTTGACTCTCATATTATACAGATTAAGCTCCCCCTAAATATATGCATACATATGGTAGAAGGCAAAGCATATACATAATTGGCAAATTATAGCTCAAGGGAATTTAATCTATATAATGCATGGAGAAAGCATATAATATCAAAATGAAATCAACATGATGATATAGATTTAGAAATACCACATGTGAAAACCAATTTGATTTCTACCACTTGCAATAGGTGGTGGATATTTGAAGTATGATGCTTAACTCCGGGGACTCCATTTTCCTTGCAATGAGACTACTACACACATGATAAGTTTGAAAAGGTGTTAGTCTCAAAGTATCCAACTTGTAGAGTAACCTCCCCCTAAATTTGTGCATCCAAGTGTGGAATACTTGTAGAAGACATGCACATTGCTTTTAGAGTCAATAACACCACTTGAAAGATGACATCACATGAATGTGAGAATCATTTTTGAAGATGATATTCGGGAGAAATTATCAATAATTTGGACTTTGGCACATATTAGATGAACAATTGTAAGACAAGCTATGT